GGGATCCATAAAGGGATTCAGTTAAGAAAAGGATGAGTATTTTCATTTTAAATATGAAAGAAAAAGAACGATATGCTGAAGCTGCTAAGATCTATACGATCTAAATGTAAAACTGCAGAAAAGAAACCCACACTGTTCCAGAGCCACACCTCCAACTGGGAAAACTCATGTTAAGAACCTAGTTAAGATGGAAGGATTCCAGTGAGAGGGACCCGCACCTTTTATTACTGTCAAGTTTAACAGTACACCTAAACATTTTCTTCAGCCATTATAAATTACCCTAAAACTGTGGATAAAGACCTCTGAATCCTCTTATCCTATTAAACACTACACAGTTAAATATGTGCCCTGACAATTAGATAAATACCTATAACAAGTAACATGCTCAATCACTTTCCAAAATTATATGGATCTGGGAAGTGATTTATCAAAAAAACAAATCTGTTTTTTTCCTCTAGAGCTCCAGTCTATCAATCTTTAACTGATATTGACGATTTCACTGATTTGAGAATCAAAGTGAACAAACTTTTCCAGATGCCAGGTTGACTCTCTATGTGCAGACATCAGGGAACAAGCAAAGCCTCCAAGTGAGAAAGGCATCTTTTTAAGAGCCATGCCCAGGGCTGGAGAGATGGCTCAGAGGTTAAGAGCCCTGACTGCTCTTCCAGAGGTCCTGAGTTCAATTCCCAGCAACCACAAGGTGGCTCACAACCATCTGTAATGAGATCTGGTGCCCTCTTCTGGCCTGTGGACACACATGCAGACAGAAAACTGTATACGTAATAAATAAATCTTAAAAAAAAAAAAAAAGAAGAAGAGCCATGCCCACCATCTACTAATATTAATGTAGCAAAACCCAAAGATTAATCACTGCTAGAAATTATATATAGGCCCAACAATACAATTCTGGTCAGTGTCACAAAAGATCAAAATGTATACCAATTACAAACATGGATGTGATTTGCAATTAGTCTCCAACCAGTTTCCAGAACTTCACAGAATAATAAATGAGTTCTCCAACTAATACCCACCTCTGGGTAAGCTGATATTTCAGCATTAGAAAAGTTACTTGTGCCGGGCAGTGGTGGCGCACGCCTTTAATCCCAGCACTCGGGAGGCAGAGGCAGGCGGATCTCTGTGAGTTTGGCCAGGCTGGACCAACAGCCTCCAAAACAATACAGAGAAACCCTGTCTCATAAAAACCCAAAGTTACTTGTATTTAGTATACCCTCACTTATACAGGAGGGTCCTCCAAAATTTATTTTAAAGCATGCATTTACTAGGAGGTTGAAAGCAGGATGATATATCAATTTACATATGCTATTATTAAATATAGGAACAAATTAGGAATTAAATAAGACTACTGTCAAATACAACCAAGCCAGAGCTCAAAGGTGTGCTTCCAGGTACGTATATAGAACAAGAAATTGGGTAAGCAAAAACAAAGTGGCCTTTCAAGATGAGGCAAGACCTCAAGCTACCTAAAAGGTAGCTCTCAACATCCAGTCTCTTCAATAAAAATGAGACTTCCTTCAAACCAAAAGCACATTTAACACTTCCTAACTTTTTTTGTTTTTGTTTTTGTTTTTTGTTTTTTTTTTTTTGTTTTTCTGTACTGTTTTGAAGACTGTCCTGGAACTCACTCTGTAGACCAGGCTGGTATTAAAGGCATGCACCACCACTGCCTGGCAGACATCCTAACTTTATTTATAAAGAGAACTCCCTAACTGTTATAAAGAGAAATTTCTCTGATTTCATGACAAAGAAAACAAACTACTCCTGGGCTCCAGAGTATTAAAAGCAGAGGCATATGAAGCAAAAAGACACATCAATTACAAGTTAAAATGTCCCCAACCCGTTTCAAGGTCTATCCACAGAACGACGAAACGCCTGTGGTTCACACATCATACCTTTGGAAACATGGCAAGTGGGAAGTATTTCCAGCCTCCATCACTCCACCACTCTCAAACCCTGCTTTTCCTTAGATTACCTATAATCCAGAACAGCCAACATCTTGTTGGGGAAGTCTTATGCTAATAAAGCACTGTCTGGCCAATAGGAATCTAGATAGGTGGGGCTAGGAATCCAGGAGGATTCTGGGTAGGAGAAACACAGGAGAGTCAACATGTGACGCCATGGGAGTAGGACACCGGGAACTATTCTCCGGTAAGAAACATACTTAGATTAACAATTATGGGGTAATTACTTAAGGCAGAGCTAGCCAGTAAGAGACAAACAAGGCCAACAGCTTCATAATGAATATAGCCTCCTGTGTGTTTATTTGGGACTCATGCGGATCTAGAACCAGGCTGGCGCGGCAGAGCCCAGGCGACTGGCGGGGGATAACCAAAGCGGCTAGCAAAAGAAAAAGCTTCTCTTAACAAAATGGTGTCAGGAGTGGGATGATGAATTTCCACGCAGAATGGCAAAAGCTTTAAAGGAATTTTAGAAACAGAAGAACGGCGAGAAGCACAGATTTTTGGTAGCAGCATTTTTCTCAGGTGTGCTCTGTTTTGCTAACGACAAGCCGAGATTCATGTGGCTCGCTTACGGGAGTCTTCCTGACTCGGCATAAAAAAAAAACAAAAACAGCAAGATTGTTTTAAGAGACTCTGCTAACGATTGAAAAGTGTGTACATACAGCTGGAAGTGGCAGCTTTTGCTGGGTGTCAGCATGGACTGAGGCAGTAAACTGGAATCATGCTTACGCCCGCCATCTTGGAAAAAAAAAAACCGCAGTTTAAAACAGCCACGGTTTTACAGATAAGACACGTGGCCAGAAAAACATAAAGATTTACAGTAAAGTCAGACTTGGATGAACAAAACCTCTAAAGGTTTACAGTGTGTTTAAAAATATACGTGACATTGAGAGAGAAAATAAAATGACAAAGTGGTAAATAAATACAAAAGCCGGCGTTGTGGTGGTGCACGCCAGTAGGAATTACTCCAGAGGCAGAGGCAGGCAGATTTCCAAATAGAAATCCTGTCTCAGAGAAAAATAAATAAAAGGAAAATAAATAAAGTAATAATAGATAAATAAATAAGCCACGTAAAGATGGAAAATACACAGAGAGTCTGGATACTGTACGCTATTATGTTTTTCAGTTTTTTGCTTGCTCAGGAAGGAACTGCTGCTAAAGTACACTTGATTATAAATGCTGCTGAATTAATCCAACTTCTATCTTTTGAAAATGCCTTGACTTCAAAATTTAAGTATAAGGATATGTTACTCGGAAAAGGAGTTTTTGCTTATGTTTCCACAGAACATAAAAAGCTGAGGATTTCTTCCAGACTTCTGTGGTTTGACGAACCAAGACCCCCAGAAGCAGTGGACCAGATGTTCCAACAATTGAAACAGCTAAGATGATGCAGTTTTACAGGCCCAGAAAATACGGACTGATACAGGTTTCTGTGTTTTGTCATGATCCCCATGGTATGAACAGCGCCCCCTTCCAGCAGGAAGCAGTTTGGAATGAACGACGTCCCAATTCCCATCTTGTTTATAAATCTTTGTTTTCATTTAAATGGGATTGTTTATAATTGGCTAATGATCACAGCCAATATTTTTTAATGGTAAAAAGGGGAATTATGGTATGGGTATTGTTTTTCATTTATTGAGACAAAATCGAGGTCAATTTTGTGATGCTTATATTTCTCCTCTTGATTAAGTATTGTGCTTATACTGATCTTTTACAACGTAATGCATAATTGAATACAGACTATAGATAGTTACTTATAATAGAATTTCTAGTTACATAAGTTAGGTTTCTAGATATACAGAAATATATTTGAGATGGACAGTCTTCAAACCTCTCAAAGACCTTCAGAACATGGCATTTAAAATGGTTTAGGGTTTGTCTTGACAATGAGAAATGTCTGATCCTGGCAGCACCAATTACGTCTGAGAGGAAGATGGGCATCGAAGAAACTCGTTATAAAGTTTGCTTTCAACATGGCAAGATTAGCCATTTGGGCAAGAAACTGCTCTTGCCTAGATTGTTTGACTGTTGTTGTATCATCTGGACATGCAGGACCCACAGGAAAGTGACTACTGAACTCAGTCTTACAGGGTTCCTGCTTGATGAAGAGTCTATGAGACTTTCTGCAGGACAAAGAAAAATGACTGACAGACTGCCAACGCAGATAGACAGTTTGAAATTTCCTGCTTTGCTGAGAAGTGTTCCAGACACATTGTGGCCTATGGGCTGAAGATGGATGCCCCAACGTTACAGAGGAACTTCGGGTGCCTGTCCAGGCAGTTAGATGTCTCTGTCAATCCTAGTGTTTATATATTATCCTTCTGTGGTCTTTGATGGAGTTGAAGACAGATAGTTATAGTTTTCCTTAGTTATGATAAAAGATAAGTTACATATAGAACTTTGGACTCACAAGGATGGTATGGATGATATTTTCTTTAAATCTTGCTAAAATATTGTAACTATGTTCTTATTTGATAACTGTTCTGTTATATACAATTTGACTGTGTTAAAGTTAAGACCTTTCTTTTTGTTTAAACAGAAAAGAGGAGATGTTGGGGAAGTCTTATGCTAATAAAGCACTGTCTGGCCAATAGGAATCTAGATAGGTGGGGCTAGGAATCCAGGAGGATTCTGGGTAGGAGAAACACAGGAGAGTCAACATGTGACGCCATGGGAGTAGGACACCGGGAACTATTCTCCGGTAAGAAACATACTTAGATTAACAATTATGGGGTAATTACTTAAGGCAGAGCTAGCCAGTAAGAGACAAACAAGGCCAACAGCTTCATAATGAATATAGCCTCCTGTGTGTTTATTTGGGACTCATGCGGATCTAGAACCAGGCTGGCGCGGCAGAGCCCAGGCGACTGGCGGGGGATAACCAAAGCGGCTAGCAAAGGAAAAAGCTTCCCTTAACACATCTGAACTAACAAATCCTGACGACTGCTTGGGTCACATTCCCCACCTCTGGAGCCTGCAAGCTGACACACACAACAGAACACCTTCACAAGAGGTACCTACGTTCTTTCCGGTGCTCAACTAAACCCACAGCCTGTTTTGCCGAGCACTTTGCAAACCAGTTGTCCCCAAGTAAAACAGTGACTTCATTAGTGTGGACAAGTTTTCCTGGCATGAAGGCAAGAGGGCCAAATGGTACCTGTTGGTTAAAAAAGAAAGAGAAAGGCAAAAATTTTAAGATACATTTTAAAAATACTTAGCATAAGAAACCCTACATTACTGAAATTCTTAACTATGCACTGGGAAAAATAAAATGTCAATTTCACAGAAATTTAGCATTATATTGAAATTTAACCAGGAAAATCTGTAGAAAATTGTCTTAGGCCAATAAATCCACATTAAAACAGGGAAAAACATCCACAGAATATTTCCATGACAACTATTAGAGAAAGTAGTGCTGTCTCTGGATGTTTATACATTTCATTAATTCTAATCTAAGTGAAACTAAAACAGTAATAAAAACTATTGTCAGTATAACTAAAACTATGTTTTAAGGCAGGAATTAAGAGTTGCATTGCCATCTACCTATCCATACTTAATCTAGTACAACAGAATAAATCCTCATGGAGCACACTGATGCAATGGAGGCTGCAGCCAAAGGCTTGCGACAGACTACATGTCATGAGGAAGGTCATTCAAAAAGAAACTAGCAGTACCTCTCATATTAAATATATATATATATATATATATTTATATATATCACTGTTCTGGGTTTTACGTCTGTGAGTTATCAGACATTATGGCTTATTCTTGTTCTTGATTAACAGGGAATAGCTGAAAGTCATATTCCTATCATAATTATAGTTTATATATAAATGTATCTACATGCCAAACATGTCAGATCTTTGCTAATATGCCATGATGTCATAATAATTATATGCAAGTTATTGTATTACTTTTGCTTTAAGGCCTAACAAAGCAAACTTCCCTTACTATGGAGTCACCTCTTGACAACGTATCAGCTGACAGTCTGTGAACTGGCATACACAGCAGGGGGATATCCTATCATTTTGCCATTAGACTTTCTACAATGAACAACATGTGGCTCTAAAAGGAATACAGAAAACATACCATGACGTCGTAGGACAGCTTGTCAGGCAAGGTTCTCAGTCTCTCTTGAAGAGCACTATAGTCACTGTCTACTTTCTCCCTGATGAGGAAAACACCAAACGCAAAATGAGTACACAGACTAACATCTACCAAGAGTCCTGTTGGCTTTGTCCAGCAGTTTATACTACTATAAAATGAGTTTAGGAGGTCAGCAATGGCATTATTCTCCCATAAATTTACTCAGAAATTAAAATTCATTCTGAAACAGAACACTCACATCTTGACAATTTGCTTCTAAAGGTAGAAGATAGCCTAGTCTAAATAAAATGTATTAATTAAGGAAATCTGAAGAAGGGGCTATGTTTAGAGGGAGCTAGGAACTGAAACTGTCATATAGCTTCTGAGTGAATAAACAGATTGTATAGCAGAGACTGTGACCACAGGTACTTCAGTTCTCATCAGAAAACGTACTCCTCAACTAGTCATATGAATCTGAACTGAACAAGGTAGGAAATCTGACCAAGGGTAGAAAGAAAATTAGGCAGCAGTAATGCAGAAAGCATTCCAACTAGTGTCTGAAATCTGTTTCATGGTGTATCAAAACAACTATTAGCGGTTGTGGTAGCACATGCCTGTGACCCCAATACTAGGGAGTAAGAGGCAGGAGGATAAGGAGTTCTGGGTCATTCTTGGCTATATGGTGAGCTCAAAGCCAACCTGCTAGATTACATGAGATTCTGACTCATGTGCATGTGTGCAAACTGCTTCCCACAGGGCTTCAGCATACTGGGCGTCAACCACCCCTCTTCCTAAGCCTGAGCCTATGCTGAGATGATGCTTCTTTGGAGGCCAAGTGTCCTAAGGACTCTTTGATAGGATGGAGGCTACACACTAATCTAAAGCATTGAACTATTCCGTTTAAGGATAACAAAAACAATAAGCTCACCAAGTTAGCAAGTAATGTAAATGACTAAAATTTATCCTAAGTGTCATGTAGGTAGCCACCTAGATAATATAAAAATGACTCTACTACAAGCCATGGAATTGGCATCAGTTTGCTCCTTAGCTCCACTACAGCAGTAGTAGCATAATTAATAAAAATTATCCACTCAAGTCAAGATCTCAGAGCATTTCACGTGTTGCTATTTATCCTGAAAACACTCCTGCAGAAATGTCACTCAACATTTTTCTCTTATATAAAATAACAGAAGGAAAACAGAAAACCAATACTGGAGAGAGCCTGATCTCCTTCCTGTGTCCTGTCCAAGCAGACACCCAGCTACCTTAGCTCTTCATCTTACTTTTCACACAAAATCTCCTTTTCCAAAGTTCAATTACTGTCTATGAACTCTCCCAGAAACTCTTATCTATAAGCACACACAAAATATCTACTTTGGTATGTCTCTCGTGCATGTATGTGTGAGGGGATGCACGGCAACATGCGAAAGCTGGGGATCAGCACTGCGTGTCTTCTACAGGCACTTTCCACCCCATTAGACAGGGTCTCACCGATTCTGCTGGAATAGCTCCAGGCATCTTCCTATCCCTGCCTCCCCAGCACTAGGGTTATGGGTACAAAATCATCTTCCTAGGCCCTGTTATCCTTCTGGGTACATTTTTATATGAACAAAATGGCAAAAGCCTTCATGTATGGGACTATGTACCAGAACCAGAACCAGGACCAGGACTAGGACTAGGACCAGGACCAGGACCAGGACCCAGAGGGACCATAGCTTGAGGTCAAAACAAAGCGTGAATCCCAGCTTTCCTACTTCACTTACACAAATGAATCTTAGGCTTAGCTTCTTCTTCCAGGTTAAAACTGGAAAAACCCTTGCTCACAGGTTCAAAAGCATTAAAGGATAATTTTCAGAAAAGATTAAGTACAAAGATAAGATTCCACTTAACTTAGTCATTCAGTTGGATAGTATGACTTACTGAGATGACAGGACAGCTGAATGTCACCCTTCAGAGCTCTGGAGACAGGGTCAATGTGAGCAATAAACAAGGTGATATGATACAGTGCCAACGTATCACAGACGCTCATTAATCTATGGAATACTAACAGCCTCTGTGATTTAGACGGGGACTGTAAAAGCTCAAGGACTATCCATCCACTATCTAATGCTTCTGATTAGGTCCAATTAAAGTCAGCATTCGACATGTCTTACAATGGTAATCACGCCTAGAAAAGGGGACTTAAAAAAAGAAATTCTGTATGCCCTCAGAGAACAGACAATTCAACCAAGGTAATGTCAGCAATCAGTATTTCAAAATGAACACTCAGTTTTAACCTTCATTAATAACTCTCTCTATAGCAAAAATGTGGACAAACTAAAGAACAGTTTAAGATTAGAATTGCTATTTCTGTATTTTGAGTTATTTTCTAAAGACAGAAAAAGAAAATGGAAGATGATTTAAAACACAGCAATGCAGAAACACCTTTTGAAGGAAAGTCCCCTAGCTGTGTGTCTTGAAGAAATTCCTGAACACCATTCTGGTCAAAAATGTCCAGAACCAAGTACTTAAACAAAACATGATCTCCACAGCCCTCTAATACACAAGGCCAATAGTCCCTGTAAAATATCACAAGCAGCAGCAAAGTCTGTGTGAGTGTGCGTGTGTGTCTGTCTCTGTGTCTACACCTACACACACACACACACACACACACACACACACACACACACACACATTTTTAATTGCAGGATAGTTTGCCTACAACGTATGCAGTACCCAAGGAGGACAGAAGAGGGTGTAAGATCCACTCGGGCTAGAGTTACAAGAGGTTATTATGTGTTTTGGGAGCTGAACCCAAGTCCTCTGCAAGAGTGGTATGGGCTCTTAACTGCTGAGCCACAAAAATACAAGTTGACTTTTTTTTTCCTTGAGACCGGGTTTCTCTGTATAACAGTTCTGGCTATCCTGAAACACACTTTGTAGAACCATTCTGGCCTCAAACTCACAGGGATCAGCCTGCCTCTGCCTTCTGAGTGCTGGGATTAAAGGTGTGCGCCACCACACCTGGTTTTAAATTTTAATTTTTATGTGAGCACTTTGCCTACATGTACACCTATGCACCACATGCGTGCCTGGAATCCTCAGAAGTCACAAGAGGACACTGGATCCCTTGCAACTAGTTACAGACAGTTGTGAGCCATCATATGGGTGCCAGGAACTGAGCCTGAGTCCTCTACAAGAGCAAGTGTTCTATACCATCTCTCAAGCCCCAGTACAAGTTCTCTTAGGAACTAATGTTAAAAACTGGACAAGGTTAATATTTGCACCCCAAATATTAATAGATCTCTTTCAACTTTATTACTTGGAAACATCAATTTTAAGTGATATGGTCTTACTAAAATATAGCAACCAAAAGATGATTACCTGAAATACTTTTTCTTCAAATGGAAAACAAAGTTCAGGTATAGTTGGATCAAGCCTCTCAAATCCACTCACTTACCCCCATGTTTGTCATAGCGTATTTAACACAGATTGCATTCAGTCCTATCACCACTCCTTTTCCTGGTATTACAGACTGAGCTTAGGGTCTTACGCACAGTAGGCAAAGACTCTACCACTGACTTTTGGGGTTTTTTTAATTTTTTTGATATAGGATTTCACCATAGGATTTCACCAAGTTGCCCAGACTGACGTTGAACCTGCCATCCTCCTATTTCACTGGGAGTAGCTAGGATGAATGGTCTGTGCCACCAAGCTCACAGCCTTCAATTCTTAACTTTAAAGTTTTATTCGTACCATATAGTTTTATGCAACATTCCTCATAGAAATAAGAACTATAACTCAACTGAATGGCATAAAAAAAGCAAGCTCCTTTTGAACCTCACTGGCCATGTCTACATACCTCTAAGAAGCTCCTTTGGTTTTAAAAAGGCAGCAGCAATGAAAGCATAGAACACATCTATGAATAGTCCTAACCTTAAAGCATTAAGATCAGGACAGATCCTACGGGAAATATTTATTTTCATAGAAGTGTAACAAGTCTGAGAGAGCAAGCTAAATGAGGTGTGTGTGAGATTATTTAAAGGTGAAGTACGCCAATGACTTGCTCTGAAATGCCTGAGAAAGGAACGGATTAATGATTAAGACATGGCTGGTGTAAAATCAAGGTCCAGTCCAACTGTTCTGTGCAGGCGAAGATTTCTATAACAGATCATTTGTAGGGGTACAGGAGAGCGTGTATTCAATCTTTCTCTTACGGGAAAAATACTTTTGTAAAGAGAAAGTAAGCTCCTACGTCCCTGTTCCAAGTGATGGCTCTCATCTCCATCTTTAAAGGGATGAAACTAAACCTCTGCTTATAAGAGCAGAATCTCCCAACTGTCAGAAGGGATACTGACAGAAAATACTAACACTAAACTGTCTCCTAGGAGGAAGTCTCCCATCGTTCTCTTTCCCTTTACCTCACCTGCTAAACAAACAAAAAAGCAGAAAACACTGTGAGAAGCGTAAAAGAAAAGGACTTTACATCAATGCAGAAGTGCGGGTTGTTTTCTGTAGCAAGAGTTGTTTGTAAGAAACAGTGAGACCCAAAGCTTCTGAACCATGCAGGAGCCAACAGCAGCTTTTTTAGTTCATTATCACCACTTTGGAACTACCGTATAAACACTGAGGAAAACCTACTTTCGATCCAGTCCACTAGATAGTAACCCACTCCTCTGCAACAGAGCCTTGGACGACACCACAGAGGCCATCACGCAAATCTAGCAGGCCTTAAATTAGCTCCACCAGCCTGAAGGGTCCCTGGGCCACCTCTGAATTAAGAAAGTTCAGTTCAGTTCAGGCAGAGATTCTCTCTCATTGCTACAGCAGGAAATGACACTTTTCTTCAGGGCCCTCTTAAGTCTAAGGAAGCTTTCGGGTTACATGACAAAATATGAACATTCTTGAAAGAAGGAACGATCCTTTCTGTGAACTGGAAGGGAAAAGAATGCTCCTCACTCACAATTTAAAAATGTTTGTATGAAATGGCATCGTCACATTTTCTTCTCAAATAGTCACAGCAAAATTTGACTTTACTTAATTCAAAATTAAAATCTACCAAAAAAGGTTAAGGCAAAATGGAGACAAATTCCTTTCTATAAT